CAGCCTCGACCTGCTGGGCTCTGGCGATCCTTCCACCTCAGCCTTCCGAGTAGCCGAAATTGCAGGCATGTGCTACCACACCCGGCTGATTTTTTGATTTCTTGTAGAGATGAGGTCTCGCTGCCCAGGCGGGTCTTGAACCCGCGGGCTCAGGCAATCCACTCACCTCAGCCTCCCAAAGGCATGAGATTACAGGCTGAGCCACTGAGCCCGGCTGAGACTCTGTTTCTTAACCACAGCCACAACAAAATGATAATAATATCCCGATGACGATGTAGTTGAGTTCCCAGCTGGGGGAGGGAGGTGTGGGGTCTACCTTTGACCCGGGCTCACTCTTTCCACAGGGCCGCCCTGGAGCGGATGGGGCTCGAGGCCTCCCAGGGGACACAGGACCTAAGGTGGGTGACGGGCTGGGCCCGGGTGTGGGTGGGGGCCATCGGAGGGAGGGGGCTCCTGGCTCAGCTGGTGCCTCCTTGACAGGGTGATCGGGGCTTTGACGGCCTCCCAGGACTTCCTGGGGAGAAGGGCCAAAGGGTGAGTGTGTGAGGCCCTACCCAGGCCAAGCCCCTCCCAGTATCCATCCCCTCCCCTTCCTCAGCCTCAGAGCCTCCACCCTGTGTCCCTCTTCAGGCTGCATCTCCCTCCCACCTCCCCCACACCCCCTTTGTTCCCCGCTCCAGGGTGACTTTGGCCATGTGGGGCAACCTGGCCCCCCAGGAGAGGACGGCGAGAGGGTAAGTTTGGGAGAGAATTGCGGCAGGGTTTGGAGGCTGGGAAGCCCAAATGAGAGTCAGAGAAGAGGACCTGGGACCCCCAAGTGGGGCTCAGAAAGATTGCTTGAGAGCTGGGTGCCATGGCTCACACCTGTAGTTCCAGCTACTCGGAGGCTGAGGTGGGAGGATTGCTTGAGGCCAGGAGTTCAAGACCAGCCTGGGCAACAGAATGAGGCCTCATCTACAAAAAGTTTAAAACTAGCCAGACATAGTGGTGTGCACCTGTAGTCCCAGCTACTAGGGAGGCTGAGGGATAGGATTGCCTGAGCCCAGGAGGCCAGGTGTCCAGGAGGCAGCAAGCTGTGATCATGCCACTGCACTCCAGCTTGGTCGACAGAGCGAGACTCTGTCTCTTAAAAAAAAAGTGAGAGAGGCCAGGTGCAGGGGCTCACACCTGTGATCCCACTGTTTTGGGAAGCGAAGGCGGGAGGATTGCTTGAGCCCAGGAATTCAAGGCCAGCCTGGGTAACACAGTGAGACCCTGTCTTCACAAAAAGTAGAAAAAAATTTGCCAGGTGTGGTGGCTTGTGCCTGGAGTCCTAGCTACTCAGGAGGCTAAGGCTGGAGGATCGCTTGAGCCCAGGAGGTCAAGGCTGCAGTGAGCCATGACTGTGCCAATGCACTCCAGCCTGGGCTACAGAGCAAGACTCTGACTCTGTGGGAGAGAGAGAGAGAGAGAGAGAGAGAGAGAGAGAGAGAGAGA